GAACGGGTGTTTTGGCCCTCGGGCTGGCGTTTCGGCGGGGCGTGCGCGGAGCGCGGCCGGGGCGGCGGGGCCGTCCGCGGCTCGGCGGCGGAGGCTGTGGCGGCGCTTCTCCGTTGTGTCTTGCTATTGGTTCTCGTCGCCGACCATGCTTGATGTATATATGTTGCTGCCAGCGTGGTTGCATGTTGCTTGTGTCTGGTTTCTGGTGTCGGTGGCGGCGGGCGGGCGGGGCGCCGCGGCGGGCGAGGGGGCGCGGCCCGCGCAGTGCGGCCCGGCTGGCCTCGGCCGGGGCGGCGGCGGCGGCCGGGCGGCGGGGGGAGCGGGCGCCGCTGCGCCGTCGTGGAACATGGCTGACTCTGGGCCCGGCGCTGCTGGCTGGAGAGAAAACAAGGGGGCGGGCGGTGGAGCTGGGCGCAGCAGTTCCGAGGCAACTTTTGTTTTCCTCTCTTCTTTTCACAGCCCGCGTTCCGTGCGGGGCGGCGGGGCGCGCGGCCCGCGCGGAGGGAGACGAGTGGGCGTCGGGGTGGGTCGCGGCCGCCCGCGCGCCCGGCCCGCGCGCGCGCGGCCGCCCCCGCGCCCCACCGCGGCGGGGGAAGGGAGGCGGCGGAGGAGGGCCCGGGCGCGCGCCCCCCGGCCTGCGCGCCCGCCGGCGCGCCCGCGCCCCCGGCCTAATGCCGAGTGTGCTGCGCCACGAGCGCGGCGCGCACCCCGCCCCGCCGCCGCCGCCGCCGCGCTCCGCACCTCGCACTCACACTCACACACCACACACACACACACCACACATATATGATGAAGGAGCCATATTCTCGTCTCGCGCTCGCCCTCGCGGCTCGGCGCGGCGGCGGCAGGCGGGGAAGACGCGCAGCGCCATGCCGGCGCCGGCCCGCGCCGCGGGCGGAGCAGCCCCCATGTTCGAGCGGTGGCTTTCTCCCTGCGCGGAGGCCTGACAAAATGGGGGCGGGCGGCGGCGCGGGCCTGCGGGCTGCCGGCCTGCCGGGTGCCACGTGGCGGCTTCGGCCTGGGAGCCGGGCCGCGTCGGCCGCCACGTTCAAAAATTTTTTAATTAAAAAAAAAATTTTTTTTTTTTTTTTTTTTTTTGCGCCAGTCAGCGCGGACGCCGCCGGGGGTGGAAACTCGCGGGGCGCGGGGCTCCCGGCGCCTCAGGCTGCCTGAGGGCCGGGGCTCCGGCGCGGGGCAGCGTTCCCGGCGCCCGGGCAGAGGCTCGCTCCGTGCGCAGTTCTCCCCACGGTCCCCCCTCATTTGCCTTTGTGTGGATCCTGACCCGCCGGCTCCCGGCCGCGGGGATCCGGCCGTCGCGCGGGCTGGGGAGCTGCCGGAGGCGCTCTCCCCGCCGCGGCGCTGCCCCAGACTCACCCTCAGCGAGGCACAGAGTCGCCCAGTGCCCGTCCGGCTCTCACTTGCCCCGGCGCTGTCTCTATGGAGCTCAATGTACTGCAATGGCTGTGAGAGCGGGAGCCAGACGCAGCCTCCTCACTCTCTCCGCTCTGTAACATTACTCTCCAGCCAGCGCGGCTCCTATTGGCTACCGCCAACTCACGGGGCTCGCTCATTGGCCCGATACCTCCCATTGTCCTGACCAGAGCCCGTTTGCTATTGGCTGTCTCCGGGGACACGTCATCAAGGATTGAAACAGCGCGCAAATCTGAATGTGTGTGTATGCCGGGCAAAGAGGCTGAGGCGGGAGAGGCAGAGGCAGAGGCAGCAGCTGCTACGGGAAAGCAGAGCTCTATGGTGTATGTGTGCATGTGTCTAACCCAAGCCAGCCCCACACCGGAGCGGCCGCCGGAGCGAAAAGGGCCTGACTTTTCCACAAGTGTCTCCAACTCCTCAGGCAAAAGAGACACCCACAGGTCTCCCCCCCCCTCTTGCCCCACATTCACGCCCAAAGCCGTTGAGATAAGAGGCCCCGGGCTTTTAATGGCCCTTAAAAAGTGAGGGGGACACTATGGGGTCATGTCCCCTGAAAACGGGGGTCTCTGCTGGTGCCGAGGGGCGGAAGCCGCCGAGCCTCTAGCCCCTCAAAGGTCTCTGATTGCGTTACACTTTAGGTCTCTGGAAAGGCAGGACTTCTGTAAGAAAGTGACATGATCCAACCAGCCGGGTTTAAAATGCCCCTTTTCTGGGCTCATAAGCCGTCACGTCAGGCTCGCTGAGCAGCTGAAATCTTGAGTCACTGAGCAGGCATTCAGTTTCACCCTTTTTCTTGGTTTGATCGAGTTTCACAGCATGTCTAGAACTTTTTATTTAAATACAAAGCACTGTCTTAACTTCCTGGAAATCAAATAATTATTCCATGTAATTAAAGAACAGCCACTTCGTTTTGATATGGGGTACTCTAGCAGGAAATGTTTGTGAGGCCCTGGTAGAATTAGCAAATTCATTAGAGACCACATTCTAAACTGTTTGGCTGTTTTATTTGGCTTGGTGTGGATTACTGTTATAATCAAACGAATCCTTGTGATGCTATCTTTCCCTCCCATCACACCACTTAGTGCATCCATGTAACCGCTCTAGGATTACTGGAGTTGTAGGTATACGGTTACCCGAAGGATTAGATGCAGGCAGAGAGTGCATGTGCCCAAATCCACAGGCTATGGTTTCTCTAACTCACCAAGCTGACTGGTATTAATAAGACATACTTACGTCTGTAGAGAAAATGTGCGGGCTGTAGTGGCCAGTTCTGAAGACTCTACAGTTATATCAGTCCTTTATGAAACTACTATCTATTCCTTTTAGCCTGAGCAGACCACGCCCCTATTCGGTTATAACAGACTTCCCTTTTTTTCACTCTCTAATGGTATTTTGTGCACTTCTAAATCCAACAGCCAATTCCTCCAAATGTAACAGATCAAAGTTGGAATAAATCACCTACGTCGTGTTAATTTGATTTTCTGTATTGCTTATAAGCATCCATAACCTAATTTATTTCCTCAAATGTATTAAACTACTTAAGAGTAAGCTTAGGTAACCTTTCCTGTTTTAATGTTGATTTCTTTTTTAAAAGAAAATATACTATTGGTCTCAGGGATTATAGTCTCAGTGAATGGACAATATATCACACACGCACATGAAAAAGACTATAATATTAAAGAGGATATAAATTGGTATACTGCACATGCAGTGTTTAAAGAGAATATATCTAAAGTTAACTTTTATGTTATTTTCACACATATTTACTATCCTCTGCTTCCCTCTACTAATCACTCAAATTTTATATTTCATTTAAATCTAGATATGTATTTCAATACTGTCTTATCTTCTCAATGTCTCATATTACAAAATATTCATGAGAATGATTAAGATACTTTCAGTGGCATCCATGATATTAAAATTTGATGATTAGTTGAATATGGCACTATCAGTATTTTCCAGGATCAGTGTTGGCTTTGTACTGGCACGGCCATCCACTTTACTGGTTGTCTATACCAGCTTGCTCCTGCCAGGGTGCATTTATGGCCACAGGACATCTTGAGAGCAGTGGACCCACACAAGGTTTCTATTTTGACAGGATGATATGGTGAGTAATAGGCACTGGAATTGAATAGACTTGGGTGCAAATCCCAGCTCTGCTACTTACTAGCTGTATGATCTTGGGCAAGTTTTTAAACCTCCATGCTTCAATTCTCTCAGCTATCAAGTGGAGGGGACCATGGGGTTGTAAAGATTAAACTTTTTTTTCAGGTTTAAAATTATATAGACCCCCTCAATCCCACAATTTAGAAAACCTCAAGTGCAGTTAACCTTGAGTTTTTCTTCATATTTTGATCGTATATGAAGGCAGTGATTGCAAATCTAGTGAAATTTGTTTTTTTTGTTGTTGTTGTTGTTTGAGACAGAGTTTCGCTCTTGTTGCCCAGGCTGGAGTGCAATTGCACGATCTCGGCTCACTGCAACCTCCGCCTCCCAGTTCAATCGACTCTCCTGCCTCATCCTCCCGAGTAGCTGGGAATACAGGCACGCGCCAACACGCCTAATTTTTTATTTTTAGTAGAGATGGGGTTTCACCATGTTGGTCAGGCTGGTGGTCAGGCCTGAACTCCTGACCTCAGGTAATCCGCCCGCCTCGGCCTCCCAAAGTGCTGGGATTACAGGCGTGAGCCACTGCACCTGGCCTTGCTTTGTTTTTTTAAAATCCTAACCTCAAACAATGTTAATCTTCCCCTAGTCTGGTGATGGTACCTTTATTTATTCCCAAGTTTAACAGAGGCTGTGTCAGAGAGAAGAGTTTAAAAACCATCACTTGCAGGCACTTCATTTCTTATATTTGATTTTCTGTGATATAGGCAGGGAAGGACATAAAAAAGAAAGAAATTTTAAAATAAAACCTACATCTTCTAGCTCTAACCCCACAACCTTGATGTTCACTTATGATATTAGACCCTTTTCTTCTTCCACATGAATCCTTAGTCACAAGTTGACATATTTTACTTTACAGTTATTGGGTTTTTATTGTTATTGCTTTTGTTTTTTTGAGACAGGGTCTCGCTCTGTTGCCCAGGTTGGAGTGCAGTGGCAAGATCTGAGCTCACTGCAACCTCCACCTCCCAGGTTCAAGCAATTCTCATGCCTCAGCCTCCCGAGTAGTTGGGACTACAGGCATGCACCACCAGGCCCGGGTAATTTTGTATTTTTGATAGAGACAGGGTTTCACCATGTTGGCCAGGCTGGTCTTGAACTCCTGACCTCAAGTGATCTGTCCGCCTCGGCCTCCCAAAGTGCTGGAATTACAGGTGTGAGCCACGGTATCCGGCCAAGCTATTGGGTGTTTTATTCCAAATTACAAAGTCATCCAGTTGAAAAGCCCTGAACACCCTCTCCCATGCTCAATTTAACCAACTGAATTACAGATTGTCATTAATATACTTTATGCCCTTCCTCCATCCCCTCTAGGATAGGGGTAGTACCTCTTTTCTGTAATCCTGTAATATTCTGTATATTAATTTCTGCTATCACAACCGTGGTTCTCCAATTGAATCTGCTTGTCCCACTGCACTGTACACCTTAAAGGCAAGGACT